TCTATAGTTTATTCGGGTGGGAATAACGGAAGCCAGAGAGAGCACCCCCTGCTTGTCCATATAAACCCTCTGCGAATAAGACCTTTACCAACAATTCAGTAAGTCATACTTGCAGTAGCGTGCTTTTATGTTGTGTATATATTGCTTTTCTGTTTTTGTTTTCTGATCTTTTTGTCTTTTCGTCGTTGATTTGATAAAAATGTTAGTTTATGATATTTGTTTGGGTTGTTTGCTCTGTGAATAGTTTTATTAGAAGCTATAGATTACTAGGACATATTTTGTAAACCACGAGCAAATGTTATCTAAATTCGTTCAGAAGTAGGTTAACTAAGGACTTGATTTCTGGAAAACAAATTGATATCTATTGATTATGAACCTACAAGTCTAGGTGTTTGAAGGTTCTGTTGGATAAGTAACATTGAGAGTTTTGCCCATCTTTATTTTTGTTGACAACTGTAGGGAATTATGAATTAGCCATAGATAATTCACGATTTCAAAATTTGAAATAGTTTCTGTAGAACAAATCAAGGTACTTGCAATGCAGCTCGCTTTGAAATCTGCTTTTTTTAAAGCCTGCTTTTTAAATCCAAATTGAATGCACTTTGGGACTGTTAGCTTGCCAATATTCTCTGTTAATACAACTCAAACTAAGTCGTGTTCCAATAAATTTCAGATTGGCTATATAAATCCCTTTTTACCTCTCTGTATTTTTCATTGTTACATCTATTTATGTTTGACCATTAATAAGCAAAAAAACTCGAAAAAATGTAATGCATAATATCATAGTAAGAATTCAGCATCATCAAGTTAAAAAGCAAGTCTTTTAGAATGGCTATTAACTACCTATGATTTTTGGTAGTGAGTGTTGTGCCATCGAATGAAAAAATATCTACAACATAAACAAAGCAAAAAGGAAGTTACTAATACATCTGTGTCTTTTAGAATAGATAAAATAAATGCCAACAAGCTTAGTGTTAATAATTAAGGATAAGTTAAGGGAATAGTGTTTGATTGTTAGTGCGTGTCTTATGTAAATCTGAAGAAACTTTTGTACTCAAATCATGAATCCTAGTAGAACAAGTTAGAAGATAAAGGTGTAGACTGTAGAATATAAGTAGTATGGCCTGAGGTAGTTGCAAAATATTTAGGGGTCGTTCTCTTCGTGTTTCAGTTTTGTGTTTTGAGTTTTGAATTCATTTTGTATTTTGTGTTTTGAGTGTCTGTTTTGAAATTTCTGAAAATGCGTTCTTTTTGCCATTCTGAAAAACTGTTTTTCAAAACTTAAAAATGGAAAACGCGTTTACTTTGAAATTTTGAGAATATTTTTTTTATAATATCTAATTTAAGAAATATGGTTATTTAATAAATTTTAATAGTATTAAATGCCATATAAATTATGAAATTGGTGAATCTTAAAATATTTTTTACTTATATAAAAAATATAACCTAAATTAAATTTCACAAGTCCTTGTTTTTATCTTTGTACGTAACTTGTGACAAGAATTAACTAGTATCAA